ACGAGCAGCCAGTGCAGCTTCCCACGGCAGGGGACAGGTACAGGCCAGGCGGCAACAAGGGGCTGGGGGACCCCGGTGTGGGGCTGGTCCTGCCGAGGCAGCGAAGGTGGCTCCCCAGCTGGGCGCTGTGGAGCAGCCCGTGGTGCCCTGGCAGATCTCCGGGCATTGTTCTGCCTCTGGGAACAATCGCTGGCTCCCGAGGGACGTCCTGTGACCGGACGCGGTCCACAGTCCCGCGCTGCCACAGGCCCCTTGGCCCCTCACCTCCCGGCCAGCCGGTGCCCACCCGGCCCCAGGGACAGGTGCTCCCGGAAGGGAGCCGGCAGGGAAAGCCCCGTTGGCTCCGGTGCCTCCATCCTTGCAACTCACTGCACCAGCAGACCGGTCTGCAGCCCCATGCGGCGCTGGCACGGTGCAGCCCCAGGGACAGTCAGCAGCTCCTGGGACAGCCCCTGCCGCAGGTGCAGCCTGTGGCCCAGCACGGTGTTGGGGGCAGCTTTGGGGTCCCCCAGGAGAGCCAGGGCCCAAGTGACTGCCATGTGGCTCTGCGCACAGACAGAGCCATGGGTGGGAAGAGCAGCAGATGGGTCTGCTGGTGCAGCGTGTCGCAAGGATGGAGGCACTGGAGCTGCCGGGGCTTTCCCTGCCTGCTCCCTTCCGGGAGCACCCATCCCTGGGAAAGGCAGGAGGGCTCCGGCACGCTTGGCTGCCTGCATGTGCGTGTGTGTATGTGTGCGTGCGCACGTACAATCCAAGCAGGCCAGGTGTGGACACGTGTGCGTGTGTGTGCGATCCATGCTCCATGTGCATGTGCCATCTAAACTGTGTGTGCCCATCTGCAGTCCAGGCTGGCTGGCTGGCACCACGCGCTTGCCAGCAGCCGGCTACGTGGGGACCCTCTCCTGGTGTGTCCCCGCGTGCGGGATGGAGGTGACGTGCAAGCAGGATGATCTGTCCCGGGAGCACACAGAGCTGCGAGGAGCAGCAGGGAGCACTGGCTCCACTGTGCCAGGGCATCCCCACTCCCCACAGGGGCTGTCCCTGTCCCTGTCCCTGGGTCGGCAGTGGGGACAATGCCCAGCTTGTGTCAGCCCCAGGGAGTGTCGGTCCTGACAGGCCAGCGGGCTCCGTGCGGGGCCAGCCAGGATGTGCCGCAGCCAGGGGGACTCGTTCTGCCCCTCGGCTCCCCCAGCCCCTCTCCTGCTGCACACCCAGGCCAGGCAGACCATCATCCCTGTTCCCTCCCTGTCCCCGCTCGGTGCCCGCCCTGGGAGGTGCCACATTCCTGGGTGCTCCCTGGGCCGGGCTGCCCCGGTCACTATTTCCACCATGGTGTGGCCGGCAGCTCTGCCCTGTGCAGCTGCGCCCCATTACTCACGCTGTGCGTCCCCGGCTGCGTGAGCTGGACACGGGCAGTAGGGCAGGGCAGGGGTCACAGACACGGGTCCCCCGTGGGGCGTGGTTTTCTGTTGTGTGCAACCCCAACATCTGCCTGGAAGCAGCCCCCTCTGCGGTGCCCCGAACCCCAGCGCCCCCGGGACCAGCTCCCGTGTCCACCGCGGCGTCCCTGTGCCTTGGCCACGGCGTTACCGCCGGTGCAGGGACAGCAGGGGCTCCTCTGGAAGATGATGTCAGTCATTACAATGATCACCCGAGCGGCTGAGACACCGTGGAGAGACAGCAGGAAAAAATGTAGCCCTGGTGGATTTTGGTGCCGTGGCCCTGCCCTCCTGCAGGGCGTGGGGCTGGGAATTTTAGTGCCACCGGGAATGTTCTGGACACCTCAAGGTCGTGGGACACATGCCGAGGGTGGCTGTCGAGCTGCAGCCCCAGGACCACCGTGGTCCCCGTACAGGGGTCCCCTTCCCACTGCCCGCCCTGACCCTGCGCCCTCTGATTCCCACTGGCATGTCCCTCTGGCTTTGCTCCCGCCCCGCTCAGGCTTTGTCACGTCACCGTGCCCCACGCCGGGCACGCTGCTGTGGTCTCTGTCCTGGGGATGCGGAGGAGACAGGGAAAAGCTGTGGTGGGGCACGGGCGGGTCCTGGCATCTCCCTCCAAACCCCACCCTGGGTGCAACTTTCCTGGCCTCTCCCCACGGAGCTTTCCTCCCCCTCTGCTTCCCCCTTGGGACAGTAATTACAGCAGTAATTAGGAAGACAATTATTCATTCTGAATGGGAACAGCTTAAACTGTTTCTCCCTCCTTTTGGCAGGTTTCACCCCACGCCCGCCCACGGGTGCTGGTGGGATGCCGGGAACCCGCCTGCCACCCAGCCCAGCGCCGGGAGCCCTGCGCTGCCATGGGTCTGGCCCCGGCCAGGCATGGGGCAGGCTGCGAGCCGTGTCCCGTCCCCAGGGGATGCCCCTCACACCGGTGCAATGCAGCCACTGCACCCTAACCCGCTGCTGGGAGCAGGGGGCTGCTGGGGGGCACAGCTCTGCGCAGGCAGTCCCCTGGGAAGGGAGTGGGTGAAGGGGATGGCCCCAAAACGGGAGAGGGTGATGAGGTGGGCGGCAAAGGGCCGATAGTGCCTGCAGGGTGGGAAGGGGATAGAAGCGTCACTGTCCCACGGGACCTCCCTTCCGCAGCACCGATGGCCGGCACGAGAGGTGGTACCCACAGGCTCAGCCCCGTGCGTGGGACTGTCCCACCCGGGATGCCCTCCGTCAAACCGGGGAGAAGGGGAGAGTCCCCCATATGACTCTTGAGCAGCCTTTCACTGAGGACCTGCACTGCAGGGAGAGCAGCACTGCAGCGCATGGTGCCCCAGACCCTTCCCCGGCTGATGGCTGTGCCAGAGCTGGCGGCTTTCTGTGTCCTGGCACAGCACCACCACACTCACTGGTAGCGGAGAGGCCGGTGCTGACCTCCCCCTGCCCGTACCCATCACCAGCTCGTCCCCAGGGGTCTGCGGGTGGGTGCGGCCAGTGCCCCCAGCCCAGCCTGGGCATGCTGCTGCCGCCACCTGGCTGGGCTCCCTGTGGGCTGTGCTGGAACAGCCGTCCCGTCCTACCGGTCCCCCCAGCTTGAGGGCTCTGGCCGAGATGCCACCAGGGAGGCTGGGCCCTGCATGGGTGTGGCTCGTTACCCACATGGCAGCAATTAGCCGGGCTTGGGCACCAGCCCTGCTCCCTCCGCCCCACCAGCACACCTTAAATCCCAGCCCGCCGCACCCAGGGCCCAGACCCAGCTGCCCAGAGCACCATGGAGCTGCCTCCTGGATGCCTCTTCCTCCTCGCAGCCCTGCTGCCCCTTGCCACGTGGTCTGACCCGGCCCTGCGCACGGCTGGAAGAGAGGAGCCGAGGATGGGTGAGTGCGCCCAGGGCACGTCCTGGGGACAGGGATGCTCCCAGGTGCCACTGCCACCCGGTACTCCCTGCTGCTCCGCGTGGTGCCGGGCATCTGGGGGAACATGGGGCTGAGCGCGATTGGGGTCCAGCCCTGGGGCACTGGGGGGCTGCTCAGCCCCCCGCTCTGCAGCCCTCCCCAGTGTCCTGGCCGCTGTGTCCCACAGCGAAGCCTGGGTACTGCTACCACATCCCGGAGGTGGAGGACCCGCTGGATGAGGACTGTGGTGCCTGCCGCAGGAACGCCTCCTGCTCCCACTGCACTGGTGACGCCGGCTGCCCCGGTGACACCAAGTGCTGCCCCAGCAAGTGCGGCTACACGTGCCAGGAGCCGGTGCTGGGTGAGGGCTCGGTGCCGCGGTGGTGGGGCTCTAGAGTGGTGTCGTGGTGAGCACAGGGGCGGGTGACAGGAGGGGTGAGCCAAGCAAACAGGGAAGGGGGTTCCCTGGGGTGCTGCCGAGCTCTTGCCGAGTCCTGCAGACCCCGGGGGGCACCACGCTGTGCAGCGGGGGAGCACCTGGGCTGCTGGTGCTTGGGGCCATGGGGCAGGTGGGCACAGAGCTGCCTGCCACCGGGAAGGGTTCGGTGGCAAGAGGGGACCGGAGCTGTGCAGACTTCTCCGAGGGCCCTGGGAGCGCCAAGCCTGGCGGCGTCCCCGTCCTATCCCCGGCTCAGCCTGTCCCCCTTGGACTGCGCAGATTTCTGCTATCTGCCCTCTGTCTGCGGGAGCTGCAAGGCGCTCTT